ATATGTCTATATATACTTGTGTATGTCTACTGTGTATGTCTATATACATACATACCTGTACATGTCTATATACACTACTCACAAAAAGTTAGGGATATTCCACTTTCGGGTGAAATTCATGGAAAATGTAAAAAGTTGATGCTACAGTATTATATCATGAAAGTAGGGCATTTAAGTAGAAGGTTAAATTAAGATCACCTGGAAAGGTTATAGTGTATTTTATGTACATTCTGAAATTTCATCCGAAAGCCGAATATCCCTAACTTTTTGTGAGTAGTGTATATACCTGTTTGTCTATATATATGTATATATATATATATATATATATACACCTGTTTGTCTATATATATATATACACATACCTGTATATGTCTATATATATATATGCACACCTGTATATGTCTATATATATATATATACACCTGTATATGTCTATATATATACCTGTTGGTCTCTATATACCTGTGTATGTCTCTATATACCTGCATGTCTCTATATATATATATATATATATATACCTGTACATGTCTATATATATATATACCTGTACATGTCTATATATATATATACCTGTACATGTCTATATATATATATATATATATATACATGTATATATATATATATACCTGTACATATCTATATATATATATATATATATATATATACCTGTACATATATATATATATATATATATATATATATATACCTGTACATATATATACACACACACACACACCTGTGTTTTTCTATATATACCTGTATATGTCTGTATATGTCTATATATATATACCTGTATATGTCTATATATACCTGTATATGTCTATATATATACCTGTATATGTCTATATATATACCTGTATATGTCTGTATATATACCTGTATATGTCTATATATACCTGTATATGTCTATATACCTGTGTATTTATGTACCTGCTGTAGCTGCTGCTGCAGTCGGCTCCGCTGTCGTCCGTCCAGTTTCAGTGTGTACGGCTCCGGACTGTGTGTGTGTGTGTTACACAGTGTGTGTGTCTGCAGGCCGAGCTGTCGTCTTTTCTTCATGAACTCCAGCTGCTGCTTCACTGTACGCAGCTCTGTGATTGGTCCGTCGTCCACCTCGTCATCGCCCAGCCCGCTGTGATGGAAGCAGAGTCAGACAGGCTCACACACCTGAGTGTGTTTGTGTGTGTGTGTGTGTGTGTGTGTGTGTGTGTGTGTGTGTGTTACATACGTATTGTGCTGCTCCTCAGGTGTGTGTGTTTGAACAGTGTGAGTCTCCTCCAGAGCCTCCTCCTCTTCCTCATGGCCTTCATCTTCCACTTCCTGTCCCGCCAGGTCTTCTTTCAGCTGAAACACAAACACCAGCAGTCAGAACGTCCAGGTGAGCTACAGGGAGAGCTGTGATTTGTCGGTCTGTGGTCGTCACTCACACTCACCGTTTCAAACAACTCCTCCATCAGTTCATTCACCTCCTTCTCTGCAGAATGACAACAGCAACAGAAACAACAACATCAACACCAACAACAACACCAACAACAACAACAGCAACAACAACATAAACATCAACATCACATCAACAACATTAACAATATAATACCAACAACAAAAATAACATCAATAACAAAAACACCAACAACATCAACAATGTAAACATCAACAACATAAACAACAAAACACAACAAACAACATCACATCAACATCATTAAGTCATATTTCTCAGATCGTTCGCAGTTTGTACATGTTAACGATGAATCTTCAATAAATACTACAGTTAGTCATGGAGTTCCACAAGGTTCTGTACTTGGACCAGTACTATTTACTTTATATATGTCCCTTTAGGCAACATTATTAGGAATCACTCCATTAACTTTCACTGTTATGCAGATGATACGCAGTTATATCTATCGATCAAGCCCGATGAAATTAATCAATTATCCAAATTACAAACATGTCTTAAGGACATAAAATCCTGGATGACCTGCAATTTTCTGATGTTAAACTCAGAAAAAAACGAAATTCTTGTACTTGGCCCCAAAAACCTTAGAGACTCACTGTCTAAAGATATAGTTACTCTAGATGGCATTAACTTGGCCTCTAGCACCACTGTCAGGAATCTTGGAGTTATCTTTGATCAGGATTTGTCATTTAACTCCCACATAAAGCAGACCTCTAGGACTGCCTTCTTTCATTTACGTAATATTAGAAAAATTAGACACATACTATCACAGACAGATGCAGAAAAACTAATCCATGCATTTGTTACTTCAAGGCTGGATTACTGCAACTCTTTATTATCAGGTTGCCCCAATAAGTCCATTAAAACGCTCCAATTAATTCAGAACACTGCAGCACGAGTACTGACAGGAACTAGAAAAAGAGATCACATCTCTTGTGTACTAACTTCTCTGCACTGGCTCCCTGTAAAAATGTATAATAGATCCTCCTCCTCACCTATAAAGCTCTTCATGGTCAGGCCCCTTCATATCTTAAAGAGCTCATAGTACCCTATTACCCCACTAGAACACTACGTTCTCTGAATGCTGGGCTACTTGTGGTTCCTATAGTCTCTAAAAGTAGAACAGGAGCCAGAGCCTTCAGTTACCAAGCTCCTCTCCTGTGGAACCAGCTTCCAGTTGTGGTTCGGGAGGCAGACACCCTCACCACATTCAAGAGTAGGCTTAAGACATTCCTCTTTGATAAAGCTTATAGTTAGGGCTGGATCAGGTGAGTCCTGAACCATCCCTTAGTTATGCTGCTATAGGCCTAGACTATCGGGGGATTTCCCATGGTGCACTGAGCTCCTCCCTTCCTCTCTCTTTCTGCACTCATTCATGTCCCATTAATGCATGTTACTAACTTCACTTCTTCCCCGGAGTTCTTGTGCTTTCTCGTCTTGCAGGTTCTTATCGATCCTGGTGGAGCCTCCTGCCATGGTCCTGCTAGATTGCCATTGCCAATACTGTTGTTGCTGTGCACCTCTCTGTCTGTCTGTCTGTCTGTCTCTCGCTCTCTCTCTCTCTCTCTCTCTCTCACCCCAACTGGTCGAGACAGACAACCACCCACCTAGAGCCGAAGGGTCTGTTCTAGGTTTCTGCCTTTTAACAGGCAGTTTTTCCTTGCCCTTGTCTCCAAGGTCTTGCTCATGGTGGTACTGTTGGGTCTCTGTAAATAATGTTATAAGGAGTTCGGTCTAGACCTGCTCTATTTGAAAAGTGTCCTGAGATAACTTCTGTTATGAATTGGCGCTATACAAATAAAATTTAATTGAAAATTGAATCATCTACAACATCAACAACAACATAAACATCAACATCACATCAACATCATCAACAACAAAAACACAACATAAACAACAAAAACATTAACAACAAAAACAACATCAACAACATCAACATGAACAACAACATCAACAACATCAACATCAACAGTTTGTCAACCAAACATTTATTGATTTCTTCTTTCATTATAAAATGAAGCCGAAATCTATCGTGTTAATATGTGTCTGTGTGTGTGTGTACACTGACTGGTGATGCGGACAGCCTTGTCATCACGGTAATCCTCCTGGTCAGGTTCATCAATGTCGGCCAGAAAGTTATATTCTGGATCATCTTCATCGTCACACTCCTCTGGTAGAGAGACAGAGAGGACAGACAGAGAGCAAGAGACAGAGAGCGAGAGACAGAGAGCGAGAGAGAGAGAGAGACAGAGACAGAATTCAAACTGGCAAATTACCTGATCACAATAAAATGTCCTAAATTAAGAAAAATGTTGACAATGTACAGACAGAGTGAACACAACCTGGCCATAGAAAAGGGTCACCACAGACAGAACTGGCTACCAGAAGAGGAGAGACTCTGCTCCCAGTGTGACAGAGGACAGGTAGAGACAGAGCTGCACTTTCTAACCTCATGCCCTGAATATAAAATCTTAAGAAAAAAACAATTTGCAAATATTTCCCAAATATACCCCGAATTCGAATTTATATCAGACACACAGAAACTCCCCTACTTACTGGGAGAAATTCCAAAAAGTCAAATTATTGCAGCAAAATATGTCTCCTCATGCCACGAACTGAGGACAACCAGTGGAAACTCAGATAAATGTATAAAATAATTGATTGTTTAAGTTCGTTTTTTCGTTGTTTTTTTAATACACACACACACACACACACACACACAAACACACACACACACACACAGAAACACGTTTACAGTTTTATCTATTTTATTTTAATTTTCATATATTACATTTTTTTTTTAACACACACGCTTAAATATATTATTTTCATTTTCTAACTTTCTTTCACTTTTTTTCTTCTTCTTCGTTATTATTTGCCATTTGAATTGAAGTGAATTGAATTGAATTGAATTGACAGACAGACAGCTGCAACAATTAGTCGATTGTTCTCAATGTGAATATCTTCTGTTTTCTTTCATCCTCTCTGACTGTCTGTGGACATCTGAAGACTTTGGGAAACTCTGATCTAGATTTTATCGACCAAACAACTTTACTTGAGAAAATAATCAATAAGTTAATCAATGATGAAAAGAGATGCAGCCCTAACACACACACCTTCATTGTCCATGTCTGAGGTCATCAGGCCTCTCAGCCAATCAGTCCATTCCCTGTCCTCGTGGGTGGAACTGGAGTCGTACATGTCAGGTGTGATGTCAGGAGCTCGGAGCTCCGCCTCCAGCCGGCCCAGCGGGACATCACGTAATGGACGCTTGGACCTCGTCCGGTACGCCATTAGACCGACCTCGTCCTCTGACTCAGACAGAGGCTGTAAATCAATCAATCAATAATTAATAGTGCAAAATGTCCACCGACTGGTCCTGAAGCGCTACAGACTGGTCCTGAAGCTCTACCGACTGGTCCCAAAGGTCTACCGACCGGTCCTGTAGCTCTACAGACCGCTCCTGAAGCTCTACAGCCCGGTTCTGAAGCTCTACAGCCCGGTTCTGAAGCTCTACAGACCGGTCCTGAAGCTCTACAGACCGGTTCTGAAGCTCTACAGACTGGTCCTGAAGCTCTACAGACCGGTCCTGAAGCTCTACAGACCGGTCCTTAAGCTCTACAGACTGGTAGTGAAGTTGAAAGCTCTAAAGAAGCTACCTGGTAAGGCTCCATACACACAGCCAGCTCCTCCTCCACAGCATGAAGTTTCTCCAGGAAGGTGCTGTCAGTCACTTTAGGGGCCGGGGCTTTTGGAGGAGGGGGAGGTCCCATTGCAACAGACCCCGCCCTCAGGCGCCTGGAGCGGCTCCGAGAAGTCTGAAGGGAGAAATGAACAACGGTTTTATAACCGATTGCAGACTTCAGATTTTAAGTGCTGACTAAAGTTCTGCAGGGAAAATGTGCTGCTGAGACAGGTAACAATATCTCACTGCTGCCTTGTGGATGCAGGAAGTATAATTCTGTGTTAAAGGTGAGTTACCTGCCAGGGGCTACAGCTGTCCTCCTCCATTCTGTTCAGACGACTCCCTCTCGGAGACGAAGCTGTGCTCTCCATGTCGCTCTCCTGGAACGTCTACACACACACACATCCATCAGTAATCAATACATCTACACACACATCTATCAATCAATAATCAATACATCTATACACACACATCCATAATTATTATTCAATGATCAGTATGAAATTGTGCTGCAGCCAATCACAGTGTAGCCTCACATCTTCAGCTGTCTCGTCCTCGTCTTCCTCATCAGGATGGTACTCTTCATCAGAGGAGTCTTCTTCAGCCAGAGGGATGTCCACAAACTGAGGAGCCTCAAACACAAAATCAAAACTGCACGTTTTCAACATGTTTTTATTCATTCTCAGGATGCTTTTATTGTCCCGGGAAAAATGTCCAAAATCAGAACCACCCAGTTAAACTGTTCACTCTGCTGCCGTCTGACAACAGATACAGAAGTTCCGCTGCCGTCTGACAACAGATACAGAAGTATCCGCTGCCTTCTGACAACAGATACAGAAGAATCCGCTGAAATCTGACAACAGATACAGAAAAATCCGCTGAAATCTGACAACAGATACTGAAGAATCCGCTGCAATCTGACAACAGATACTGAAGAATCCGCTGCAATCTGACAACAGATATAGAAGTATCCGCTGCAGCCTGACAACAGCCACCTTTAGTTTAATGTTTAATAGACTCAATTGGCTTCTGTCAGAGTGTAAATAAACCAACTCATTGTTTTAATCACACTCTTGACCTTGTTCTATCATAGGGCATTGATATTGAACATTTAATAGTCTTCCCACATAATCCTTTCTTATCTGACCATTATTTAATAACTTTGAATTCCTACTATTAGATTATAAGCCATTAGGCAAAACTTCCTACAGCAGATGTCTATCTTACAGTGCTGTAGCTAAATTTAAGGAGGAGATTCCTTCAGTGTTTAATTCAATGACATGTCTGAATTTAACAGAGTCCTATAACAACTTTAGTCCCTCCGAAATTGATAATCTTGTTGATAGTGCTGCAGGCTCACTACGAAGAACATTAGATTCTATCGCTCCTATAAAAAGGAAATTATTAAAACAGAGGAAACTAGCACCGTGGTACAACCACCAAACCCACTAATTAAAGCAAAAAGCTAGGAAATCTGAAAGGAAATGGCGCTCTTCCAAATTATCAGTGGCTCTCCAAGTTCAGGAACTTTAACTAATGTAAACTCAGATATATATTTAGACTGTTTTTCTGCTATCGATCTTCATCAGTTAACTTCAATAATTTCTACATTGAAGCCATCAACCTGTCTGTTGGACCCCATCCCAACTAGGCTGCTTAAAGAAGTCGTACCCTTAATTGGCACTTCTTTACTGGATATGATTAATCTTTCTTTATTATCAGGATATGTACCACAGTCCTTTAAAGTAGCTGTAATTAAACCCCTTCTTAAAAACCCCACTCTCGACCCAGGGGTTTTAGCCAATTATAGACCAATTTCTAACCTCCCCTTCCTCTCTAAGATTCTGGAGAAAGTAGTCGCCAAAGAGTTGTGTGACTTTCTACATAACAATAGTTTAATTGAGGATTTTCAGTCAGGATTTATAGTTCATCATAGCACAGAGACAGCTCTGGTTAAAGTTAATAACCAGGGCTTCAGACAATGAACTTGTCTCTATACTTGTATTATTATATCTTAGTGCTGCATTTGACACCATTGACCATAATATTCTTTTACAGAGACTTGAGCATCAAATTGGCATTTAAGGAACCGCACTAAGCTGGTTTAAGTCATATTTATCAGACGGTTCGCAGTTTGTACACGTTAACGATGAATCTTCAATAAATACCACAGTTAGTCATGGAATTCCACAAGGTTCTGTACTCTGACTAATACTATTTGCTTTATATATGCTCCCTTTAGGCAAAATTATTAGGAATCACTCCATTAACTTTCACTGTTATGCAGATGATACGCAGTTATATCTATCAATCAAGCCCGATGAAATTAATCAATTATCTAAATTACAAATATGTCCTAAGGACATAAAATCCTGGATGAGCTGCAATTTTCTGATGTTAAATCTTGTACTTGGCCCCAAAAATCTTAGAGACTCCCTGTCTAAAGATATAGTTACTCTAGATGGCATTACCTTGGCCTCTAGCACCACTGTCAGGAATCTTGGAGTTATCTTTGATCAGGATTTGTCATTTTATCCCCACATGAAGCAGACCTCTAGGACTGCCTTCTTTCATTTACGTAATATTACAAAAATTAGACACATCCTACCACAGACAGATGCATAAAAACTAATCCATGCATTTGTTACTTCTAGGCTGGATTACTGCAACTCTTTATTATCAGGTTGCCCCAATAAGTCCATTAAAACGCTCCAATTAATTTAAAACGCTGCAGCACGAGTACTGACAGGAACTAGAAAAAGAGATCACATCTCTTGTGTACTAACTTCTCTGCACTGGCTCCCTGTAAAAATGTATAATAGAATTTAAAATCCTCCTCCTCACCTATAAAGCTCTTCATGGTCAGGCCCCTTCATATCTTAAAGAGCTCATAGTACCCTATTACCCCTCTAGAACACTACGTTCTCTGAATGCTGGGAGCCAGAGCCTTCAGTTACCAAGCTCCTCTCCTGTGGAATCAGCTTCCAGTTGTGGTTCGGGAGGCAGACACCCTTTCCACATTCAAGAGTAGGCTTAAGACATTCCTCTTTGATAAAGCTTATAGTTAGGGCTGGATCAGGTGAGTCCTGAACCATCCCTTAGTTATGCTGCTATAGGCCTAGACTATCGGGGGATTTCCCATGGTGCACTGAGCTCCTCCCTTCCTCTCTCTTTCTGCACTCATTCATGTCCCTTTAATGCATGTTACTAACTTCACTTCTTCCCCGGAGTTCTTGTGCTTTCTCGTCTCGCAGGTTCTTATTGATCCTGGTGGAGCCTCCTGCCATGGTCCTGCTAGATTGCCATTGCCAATACTGTTGTTGCTGTGCACCTGTCTGTTTGTCTCTCTCTCTCACCCCAACTGGTCGAGACAGACGACCACCCACCTAGAGCTGAAGGATCTATCCTAGGTTTCTGCCTTTTAACAGGCAGTTTTTTCTTGCCCTTGTCGCCAAGTGCTTGCTCACGGTGGTACTGTTGGGTTTCTGTAAATAATGCTATAAAGAGTTCTCTATTTGAAAAGTGTCCTGAGATAACTTCTGTTATGAATTGGCGCTATACAAATATAATTGAATTGAATTTAGTTCTGCAGTTAGAGTGGGGGATGGATAAAAGGCTGAGATTTGAGGAGCGAAGTGGCCGAAGAGTGGAATGAGGAATGCGGAGATCTAAAACATAACTGGGGGCAAGGTCATGAAGGTCTACAGCGTGTAGTCATTGTGGAGGCCTGTGTGGTAGCGTGGTAAATAAAGGAACCCTGATGTTTAAATAAAAACATTTTTCAATGTTAATAAAACTTTCTGTCTGCTGTACAGCTGTCTGAACTTTGACCTTTACCTTGTTAACATCACTGGTCTTCTTGATGGGTGAAATGTTCCAGGCTGGAATCACCTGACAGGAAACACGAAGAGGACAGGTGAGGTGACAGATCAATATACAATATAAATACAGGCAGACAGACAGAGACAGACAGGTCTCACCACTCCTTTCTCTACCACTTCTTTGAACTTGGATCGAGTCATTTTGGGCTCCTGCAGGAAACAAACAGTCACATTAAGAATTAATTAACAGCGATATCATTAACATATTGATCCATATCCATAGATAGCTCCCACCAGGTGTTCTGATTGGACAACAGACTCACAAATGGAGGGACGGCCTCGGTCTCGTTGATGGCGGCTTTCATCATGGCCACCACATGTTCGTTGGTGATCACTTCCTGTAGGTCATCAGTCAATTAATAACACTGTAAATATAGATTATTGTATTCTGTATAGATTATGTGTAGATTATTGTATTCTGTATAGATTTTTGTATTATGTACAGATTATGTATAGATTATTGTATTCTGTATAGATTATGTATTCTGTATAGATTATTGTATTCTGTATAGATTATGTATTCTGTATAGATTATTGTATTCTGTATAGATTATGGTATTCTGTATAGATTATGTATTATGTATAGATTATTGTATTCTGTATAGATTATTGTATTCTGTATAGATTATGTATTCTGTATAGATTATTGTATTCTGTATAGATTATGGTAATCTGTATAGATTATGTATTATGTATAGATTATTGTATTCTGTATAGATTATTGTATTCTGTATAGATTATGTATTATGTACCAGATCATGTATAGATTATTGTATTCTGTATAGATTTTTGTATTCTGCATAGATTATCCATTATGTATAGATAATGTATTCTGTATAGGGTTATGAGTGCGCATGCGCGAAAGCTGCATGCTGCCTGTTACGTTGCTCCAGCCTTTGAGTTCGCTTTTTTTAACTTTTTTAACTTTTATTCTCTTTAGTTTGTTCTTGTTTCTTCACTGTAACTCTGTGAAGTTCTGTCCTCTCTAACGAGGTAATTTTCAGAGAGTTTTCGTGCTTTTCTTCGTGTTGTTTTTATTATGCCGCTTCCACCGGGACACGCTGCCTTTGTTTACTCCGGAGAACAGCTGATCGCACTAATGCCGGCCGGCGTAGTGGCCAGACCAGCTGAAATACCACCTGAACTCTGGAGGAAAACACACGAGGTTGCAGAGGAGGGAAGCAACGTCGGGGGATGAAAGGAGGGTCGAGACGGGACGGGCTTATGGAGAGGAGAAGATTTAAGCTGTGTCTCCCCGTACGGTCCCTTAGCAACAAAATGGATGAGCTAACAGCTCTGACGCTGAGCCACCCGGAGTACCGGGAGTGCAGTCTGATGTGTTTCACAGAGACATGGCTGCACAGGGACATTACAGACCAGATCGTCTCCGTGGATGGCTTCCACACCGTCCAGGCGGACCGGGATACCGAGAGCGGTAAGCGGAAAGGAGGGGGGCTTGCCATTCTAGTAAACAGCAGATGGTGTAACCCGGGTCATATCACCATTAAAGAACAGCTCTGTAGCCCGGATGTTGAACTGCTGGCCGTTGGACTTCCCCCGTCCATACCATCTGCCTAAAGAGATCCCGCACGTCATCATTGCTGTCCTGTACATCCCTCCCTCTGCAAACCCAACATCTGCCTGCAGCATCATACACACCACCATCTCCAAACTACAGACTCAACACCCCAGTGCCCTCATCATCATGTCGGGAGACTTCAACCACGTCACCATGGATAGAGTTCTGCCGACCTTCAAACAATATGTGAGCTGTCCTACCAGAGAGGAGAGGACCCTGGACCTGATGTATTGCTTACATTAATCTCCTCTTCTCTCCCCCCTCTGGGCAGGTCAGATCACAACCTGGTTCACCTCAAACCCTGCTATGTGCCTCTGGTGAAGAGGAAGCCTACGACCACAAGGACTGTGAGGAGGTGGTCGGTGGAGGCTTATGAGACACTGCAGGCCTGCTTTGAAGTGTCTGACTGGCCTGCACTCTGTGAGCCCCACGGGGAGGACATTGATGGGCTCACAGAGTGCATCACGGACTACATCAACTTCTGTGTGGACTGCAATGTCGCAGCTTGGACTGTAACCTGTTATGCCAACAATAAACCTTGGATCACTAAGGATATTAAGGCCATCCTGAATGAAAAGAAGAGGGCGTTCAGAGATGGCAACCGTGATGAGGTGAGGAGAGTGCAGGGGGTACTCAAACTTAAAATCAGGGAGGCAAAAGACAAGTATAGGAGAAAGCTGGAGAATAAACTCCAGCGAAACAACATGAGGGATGTGTGGAGTGGCATGAGAACCATCACTGGGTTCCAGAAGACTGGTGGCATGGGGTTGAAGGGCCATGTCGACCGGGCCAATGAACTGAACCTTCTTCAATAGGTTTGATACTGCGGCCCATCCCCCACAAGTCTCTGCTGCTGGCTACTCAACAACTGCCACTTTATCTCCCCCTACTCCTCCTCCTTACAGAACCCTTGTCTGCTCCTCACCACCTCAATTCACACCCACCTACTCCACCCCTCCCCCCTGCTCTACATCATGTCCTCCACAACCTGAGGACCTCCCCCCTCCCCCCACTGTCACCTCTACAGTGCCCTTCACGCCTGACCTGATGAGAAGACAGCTGAAAAGACTCCACTCCGGCAAAGCTGCAGGCCCTGATGGTGTATTTCCCAGGGTGCTTAAAGTCTGTGCCCCCCAGCTGTGTGGAGTACTTAGCCAAGTCTTCAGCCTGAGCCTGCACCTCCAGAGGGTCCCTGTGCTGTGGAAGACGTCCTGCCTCGTTCCTGTGCCAAAGACGCATCCCAGCGGCCCTCTGAACTACAGACCGGTGGCTCTGACGTCCCACATTATGAAGACCCTGGAGAGGCTTGTCTTGGAGCAGCTAAGGCCTATGGTCAGGCGCTTCACCGATCCACTGCAGTTCGCCTACCAGCCCTGCCTGGGAGTTGAGGACGGCATCATCTACCTGCTGTACAGAGTCTACACTCATGTGGATAAGCTGGCGAGCACTGTGAGAGTCATGTTCTTTGATTTCTCCAGTGCTTTCAATACCATCCGTCCGGCTCTACTGGGTGAGAAGATGGCTGCGATGCAGGTGGAGGCCCCCATCGTGTCCTGGTTTGTTGATTACCTGATGGGCAGACCACAGTACATACGTCTACAGAACTGTGTATCTAACAGGGTGGTCAGCAACACTGGGGCCCCACAGGGGACTGTCCTCTCTCCCTTCCTCTTCACCCTCTTCACCTCAGACTTCAACTATTGCACTGAGTCCTGCCACCTTCAGAAGTTTTCTGATGACTCAGCAATAGTTGGCTGCATAGATAAGGGTGATGACAATGAATACAGGACTGTGGTGGGCAACTTTGTCACTTGGACTGAGCTGAATCATCTGCAGCTCAATGTGACAAAGACAAAGGAGCTCATAGTGGATCTGAGGAGGGCAAAAACACTTGTGACCCCTGTTTCCATCCAGGGGGTCCCTGTGTACACTGTGGAGGAGTATAAGTACCTGGGGGTGTACTTTAATAATAAGCTGGACTGGACTAGAAACACTGAGGCTGTCTACAAAAAGGGCCAAAGCCGACTCTTTTTCCTAAGGAGGCTGAGGTCCTTTAACATCTGCCGGACAATGCTGAGGATGTTCTATGAGTCTGTTGTGGCCAGTACGATCTTCTTCGCTGTCACATGCTGGGGCAGTGGGCTGAGGGTCGCAGACAACAACAGACTAAGCAAACTGATCAGGAGGGCCGGTGATGTCGTAGGGGAGGAGCTGGACACTCTGACGACCATGGCAGAGAGGAGGATGCTGTCCAGGCTTCAGTCCATCTTGAACAATGTCTCACACCCTCTCTATGACACACTGGCCCAGCAGAGGAGCACCTTCAGCAGAAGACTCCTCTCACCCAGATGCACCACAGAGCGCCACAGGAAATCATTCCTGCCTGTGGTCATCAATCTCTGCAACGCCTCCCTCAGAGAGTCAGACACCCCTCCTCTGTAATTCTGACTCAAAACATAGACAATCATTCTTTTGCACTTTTTGCACATTAATACTGTACATTTGATCTTATATATATATATATATTTATATTTTTTGTGCTGAATGTTGTGTATATATATATGTTGTTCGTATAATATGTCGTTTGTATATCTGGAGTGTTGTAACGAAAATAATTTCCCCCTGGGATTATTAAAGTATTTCTGATTCTGATTGATAGACTATGTGTAGATTACTGTATTCTGTATAGATTATTGTATTCTGTATAGATTATGTATAGATTATTGTATTCTGTATAGATTAGTGTATTCTGTATAGATTCTGTATAGATTATTGTATTCCACATAGATTATTGTATTCTGTATAGATTATTGTATTCTGTACATATTATTGTGTTCTGTATAGATTATGTATTCTGTACAGATTATTGTATTCTGTATAGATTCTGTATAGATTATTGTATTCTGTATAGATAATGTATAATTATTGTATTCTGTATAGATTCTGTATAGATTATTGTATTCTGTATAGATAATGTATAATTATTGTATTCTGTATAGATTCTGTATAGATTATTGTATTCTGTATAGATTATTGTATTGATAATGTATAGATTATTGTATTCTGTATAGAATATGTATAGATTATTGTATTCTGTATAGATTCTGTATAGATTATTGTATTCTGTATAGATTAGTGTATTCTGTATAGAGTATGTATAGATCATTGTATTCTGTATAGATTCTGTATAGATTATTGTATTCTGTATAAATTAGTGTATTCTGTATAGATTAGTGTATTCTGTATAGATTATGTATAGATTATTGTATTCTGTATAGATTATTGTATTGATTATGTATTCTGTATAGTTTATGTATTCTGTATGGATTATTGTATTCTGTATGGATTATTGTACTCTGTATGGATTATGTGTAGATTATTGTATTCTGTATAGATTCTTTATAGATTATTGTATTCTGTACAGATTATTGTATTCTGTGTAGATTATTGTACCTAGATTATGGTATTCTGTGCAGATTATTGTATTCTGTATAGATTTTGTATAGATTATTGTATTCTGTACAGATTAGTGTATTCTGTGTAGATTATGTATAGATTATTGTATTCTGTATAGATAATGTATAATTATTGTATTCTGTATAGATTCTGTATAGATTATTGTATTCTGTATAGATTAGTGTATTCATAATGTATAGATTAGTGTATTCTGTATAGATTATGTATAGATTATTGTATTCTGTATAGATTCTGTAAGATTAGTGTATTCTGTATAGATTATTGTATTCTGTATAGATTAGTGTATTCTGTATAGAGTATGTATAAATTATTTGTATAGATTCTGTATAGATTATTGTATTCTGTATAAATTAGGGTATTCTGTATAGATTAGTGTATTCTGTATAGATTATGTATAGATTATTGTATTCTGTATAGATTATTGTATTGATTATGTATTCTGTATAGTTTATGTATTCTGTATGGATTATTGTATTCTGTATGGATTATTGTACTCTGTATGGATTATGTGTAGATTATTGTATTCTGTATAGATTCTTTATAGATTATTGTATTCTGTACAGATTATTGTATTCTGTGTAGATTATGTATAGATTATTGTATTCTGTACAGATTATTGTATTCTGTATATATTTTGTATAGATTATTGTATTCTGTATAGATTAGTGTATTCTGTATAGATTATGTATAGATTATTGTATTCTGTATAGATTATTGTATTCTGTATAGATTATTGTATTGATTATGTATTCTGTATAGATTATGTATTCTGTATGGATTATCATATTCTGTATATTCTGGGGCGGATCTGGGGGGGGGGGGGGGGGGGGTTTTTTTTTTTTTTGGGGGGTTGGGTTTTGGTCCCTTGTTTCCCCCTTTACATTTTTAAGTATCCTTGAGCAAGATACTGAACCCCAAATTGCTTCCAGTGCTGTGCATCAGTGTTTGAATGTGTATGAAAGGGTGAATGTGGCACGTAGTGTAAAAGCGCTTTGAGTGGTCGGAAGACTAGAAAGGCGCTATACAAGTACAGGTCCATTTACCATTTGTATTCTGTATGGATTATTGTATTCTGTATGGATTATTGTATTCTGTATGGATTATTGTATTCTGTATGGATTATTGTATTCTGTTTGTATTCTGTATGGATTATTGTATTCTGTATGGATTATTGTATTCTGTTTGTATTCTGTATGGATTATTGTATTCTGTATGGATTATTATATTCTGTATGGATTATTGTATTCTGTACGGATTATTATATTCTGTATATTGTATTCTGTATAGATTATTGTATTGGTTCAGGTCATTGTTAACGGATTGTGATTGGCTGTGTGAATGAACTCACGTGGATGATGTTTCTGACATTCACTGTGGTCAGGTTGTGCTGTTTGGATTTTGTTTCCAGTGATTGGTCCAGCCGTCTGTCAATCTCCAGCTCTACCCCTGCTGCCGCCTCCTCCTCCTCCTCCTCCTCCTCCTCGCTCTCTGAGGCTCCGCCCCCCTCCTCATCTGTCCGCCTCCTCTTCTTCTTCCTCACTGCTCTCCTCCTCACTGCCTTCACCTCCACCTGACTGTCCTCTGACAGACAGACAGACAGATTAAATACCTTCACACACCTCAGACTCACCTGAGCTCACCAGGTGTGTGTGTGGGTGTGTGTGTTACCCATGGTGATGATGAGGCTGGAGTCGGTGGTGTCTTCCTGCACCAGCAGGTAACCCTCCTCCTCCTCCTCCTCCTGAGCTCCGACTCCAGCCGGAGCAGCGGGAGGTGGCAGCAGCGAAGCATCATGGGAGAGGAGCTGAGGACCAGAGCATGGCGGTCTGAGGCTCTGGGCGGTGGAGCTGGTGTCGTTGCGCACGGCGGTTCTGGACGGGCTGAGTCTGAGGCGTTTGCGGACCGGGTTCATTCTGGAGAAACATGACCTCTGAAACAGTGACATCATTCTGTCAGTTCAATATTTATCAGTGTTCGATTGATGAGGGTTTTATTTAGAGACACAGCTACAAACTGACAGCTACAGACACTGCTACTGACAGCTACAGACACTGCTACAAACTGACTACAGACTGACAGCTACAGACACAGCTACTGACAGCTACAGACACTGCTACTGACAGCTACAGACACTGCTACAAACTGACTACAGACTGACAGCTACAGACACAGCTACTGACAGCTACAGACACTGCTACTGACAGCTACAGACACTGCTACAAACTGACTACAGACTGACAGCTACAGACACAGCTACTGACAGCTACAGACACTGCTAAACTGCTACTGACAGCTACAGACACTGCTACAAACTGACTACAGACTGACAGCTACAGACACAGCTACAGACAGCTACAGACACTGCTACTGACAGCTACAGACACTGCTACAAACTGACTACAGACTGACAGCTACAGACACAGCTACTGACAGCTACAGACACTGCTACTGACAGCTACAGACACTGCTACAAACTGACTACAGACTGACAGCTACAGACACAGCTACAGACTGACAGCTACAGACACTGCTACTGACAGCTGCAGACACTGCTACTGACAGCTGCAGACACTGCTACTGACAGACAGCTACAGACACAGCTACAGACACTGCTCGTGAACACTGTAACACTGTAGTACTGTAGTACTGTAACACTGTAGTACTGTAGTACTGTAACACTGTAACACTGTAACACTGTAGTACTGTAGTACTGTAACACTGTAGTACTGTAGTACTGTAACACTGTAACACTGTAGTACTGTAACACTGTAGTACTGTAGTACTGTAACACTGTAGTACTGTAACACTGTAGTACTGTAGTACTGTAACACTGTAACACTGTAACACTGTAGTACTGTAGTACTGTAACACTGTAGTACTGTAATACTGTAACACTGTAATATCCGATATCCCGATCCCAACTAGGCTGCTTAAAGAAGTTGTTCCCTTAATTGGCACTTCTTTACTGGATATGATTAATCTTTCTTTATTATCAGGATATGTACCACAGTCCTTTAAAGTAGCTGTAATTAAACCCCTTCTTAAAAAGCCCACTCTTGACCCAGGGGTTTTAGCCAACTATAGACCAATCTCTAACCTCCCCTTCCTCTCTAAGATTCTGGAGAAAGTAGTCGCCAAAGAGTTGTGTGACTTTCTACATAACAATAGTTTATTTGAGGATTTTCAGTCAGGATTTAGAGTTCATCACAGCACAGAGACAGCTCTGGTTAAAGTTAATAATGACCTTCTGACTGCTTCTGACAATGGACTTGTCTCTGTACTTGTATTATTATATCTTAGTGCTGCATTTGACACCATTGACCATGGTATTCTTTTACAGAGACTTGAGCATCAAATTGGCATTAAAGGAACCGCACTAAGCTGGTTTAAGTCATATTTATCAGATCGTTTGCAGTTTGTACATGTTAACAATGAATCTTCAATAAATACTACAGTTAGTCATGGAGTTCCACAAGGTTCTGTACTTGGACCAATACTATTTACTTTATATATGCTCCCTTTAGGCAACATTATTAGGAATCACTCCATTAACTTTCACTGTTATGCAGATGATACGCAGTTATATCTATCGATCAAGCCCAATGAAATTAATCAATTATCTAAATTACAAACATGTCTTAAGGACATAAAATCCTGGATGACCTGCAATTTTCTGATGTTAAACTCAGAAAAAACCGAAATTCTTGTTCTTGGCCCCAAAAACCTTAGAGACTCATTGTCTAAAGATATAGTTACTCTAGATGGCATTAACTTGGCCTCTAGCACCACTGTCAGGAATCTTGGAGTTATCTTTGATCAGGATTTGTCATTTAACTCCCACATAAAGCAGACCTCTAGGACTGCCTTCTTTCATTTACGTAATATTACAAAAATTAGACACATCCTATCACAGACAGATGCAGAAAAACTAATCCATGCATTTGTTACTTCAAGGCTGGATTACTGCAACTCTTTATTATCAGGTTGCCCCAATAAGTCCATTAAAACGCTCCAATTAATTCAGAACGCTGCAGCACGAGTACTGACAGGAACTAGAAAAAGAGATCATATCTCTCCTGTACTAGCTACTCTGCGTTGGCTCCCTGTAAAATGTATAATAGATTTTAAAATCCTCCTCCTCACCTATAAAGCTCTTCATGGTCAGGCCCCTTCATATCTTAAAGAGCTCATAGTACCCTATTACCCCACTAGAACACTACGTTCTCTGAATGCTGGGCTACTTGTGGTTCCTATAGTCTCTAAAAGTAGAACAGGAGCCAGAGCCTTCAGTTACCAAGCTCCTCTCCTGTGGAACCAGCTTCCAGTTGTGGTTCGGGAGGCAGACACCCTCACCACATTCAAGAGTAGGCTTAAGACATTCCTCTTTGATAAAGCTTATAGTTAGGGCTGGATCAGGTGAGTCCTGAACCATCCCTTAGTTATGCTGCTATAGGCCTAGACTATCGGGGGATTTCCCATGGTGCACTGAGCTCCTCTCTTCCTCTCTCTTTCTGCACTCATTCATGTCCCATTAATGCATGTTACTAACTTCACTTCTTCCCCGGAGTTCTTGTGCTTTCTCGTCTCGCAGGTTCTCATGGATCCTGGTGGAGCCTCCTGCCATGGTCCTGCTAGACTGCCATTGCCAATACTGTTGTTGTTGTGCACCTGTCTGTCTGTCTGTCTGTCTGTCTCTCTCTCTCTCTGTCTCTCTCTCTCCCACCCACCTAGAGCCGGAGGATCTGTCCTAGGTTTCTGCCTTTTAACAGGCAGTGTTTCCTTGCCCTTGTCTCCAAGGTCTTGCTCATGGTGGTACTGTTGGGTCTCTGTAAATAATGTTATAAAGAGTTCGGTCTAGACCTGCTCTATTTGAAAAGTGTCCTGAGATAACTTCTGTTATGAATTGGTGCTATACAAATAAAACTGAATTGAATTAATATTGTAATACTCAGTAAAAGTATAAAAGTACTTGTATTCCATCTGTTACGTTGACAGTAAAATGTTGTTTAATGTGATTTTATCTAATAAAGTGTTTAATGTTTGCCACCATAATTCAAACAACAACAACTATAATAATAACAATGAAGATCAATAAAGTAACATCTTAAATACTCGCAGGTATTTTATTGTGAAAGAATTCAAATATAAAGTGTCGGAAATTACAGAGAATATAACGACACTGTTTATCTGTTATCTTCTAAATATATATATATATATATATATATATACACACTGAGCTTCTGTTAGCTTCTGTTAGCGACACAGCTCTCTTATGGAAGTTAGCTGTTAGCTTCTGTTAGCTTCTGTTAGCTTCAGTTAGCTCAGAGTTATTCAGTCTGCTCTCCTCAAGCTAGCATGCTAACCGCAACCAGCCGGCTAGCAGCTAAAGTTAGCGGACTACAGACAGACTACAGACAGACTACAGACAGACTACAGACAGAACCGGGTCCCAGTGAGTCTGTCCGGGCTCGGACTCTCCCTTACGGTCCAGTACCGGACCCTGGGACCAGGTTTAATATGAACCGGTTCTTACCGCCACAACGAAGAGACGCTGCTGCCGAAAACTACATTTCCTCTTGTACGTAACTGCGTCACCGCGTAAAACGTCCGGTTTACGCCTTCTTCTTCTTCTTCTTCAGTTGGTATCCGCCATGTTGGATTCTTCCTTTACAAACAGCTGACTACGTTTGAAATAAAAACAGTCTGAACGCAGATATTAGCTCTGTTGGTTTCAAAGTGATTACAATGATAAAATATAACTCAAATAATAATCTAATGAATGAAATCTCGTTAGAACTGGTTAATATTTATCACATCTGAACAAATATCTTCATTTAACCTAAGTTAGGTTTATTATATTGATATTTAAATTAACCTCAGGTATTGTTTTTATTTGTCACATCAATAGTTGATACCAGTTTCCTCCTGAAGCTCCCAGTGGCACTAACCAGAATTAACTGGGTCATTATTGGGATGTAATATTAAACTATATAATATATTCTATTTAAGTGTTTTTCTAAATACTTAAAGACACCTCACATAAAAACAAAAGCAGCAAAACATATCACACTAAGCTAAACATTAAAAGCGGTTTTTAGAAGGAGAGTTTGACGGGGCAGTCACGGATGAGTTCCAGAGGGAGGGGGCAGTAGGATGTGTCCACATTGTGTTATTGGTATTGAAACGCGTATTGAAAGAGTTCAGCTTGTGTCTCCAGCTGCACTCTGAGTGTAAAGCAGCAACCAATAAACCTCCAGTCTGAACACACGAACTCCTCCAGGATCAAAGTAGAGAACCCAGACTGAAGGAACGTCAGTACGATGAATATACAAACTGACTCATTTTGAAAATTAACCTGCCTCATACAGAACCTCTTCATAACATTTCAAATAGAGCAGGTCTAGACCGAACTCTTTATAACATTAATTACAGAGACCCAACAGTACCACCATGAGCAAGACCTTGGAGACAAGGGCAAGGAAACACTGCCTGTTAAAAGGCAGAAACCTAGGACAGATCCTCCGGCTCTAGGTGGGTGAGAGACTCTAATAATAAGTCAGAAGGTCAAAAACAAGACGACATTTTATTAAAATCATTTAAAATAAATAGAAAGTTCGGAAGTGACAGCAGAGTGTCTGCTGGTTCTGGTCCTGGTGAGGTCAGCGGGGGCGTGTCCTCCTGGCGGCAGGACTCAGAGCCTTCAGTGCAGCTGCAGGTCTCTTCAGATCCTTCAGCACCTGCAGACCCAGAGCTCTGACGGGGCGCAGACAAACCCAGGACCTCCGGGAACCGGAACCAGGACTAGGACCGGGAGCAGGGGGAGGAGGGTCTGCCGGGTCCTGCAGGTCGGTGTCTGAGACCGTCACGGTCACCGGTTTGTGGAACAGTGACTCCCGGCGCCGCGTGCAGGGGCTGGCAGCTAGCACGGCACAGAACCCATAGGGCGTGGTCACCTTCCCCACGTGTGGCAGCGACATGGCGGCGCGTGTTGTCACGTCCACGTCCGCGGACTCTGATCCAGCGGCAACGTGGCGGGGTCGTCTGATCCGCGGCGGCAGGCGGAGCTGGAAGCGGCGGGAGGCCACAGGGGTGAGCGGGGTCCTTGGGGGGCTCGGACCCGGACTGTCGTCGTCCGACAGCAGTCTGGTCCGGTCTGGAGAACTTCGGTGGATCCGTGGAGAGAGGGACCGGAACGGACTGCGGGACGGGATCAGGAAGTCTGGGATCCGCTCCGGAGTCAGAACCAGAGTCCGCAGGCTTGATCCGGATTTAACGGCCGACATTCTCAGAGAGAGAAAGATTGATCAATAACTGATCAATACCTGATCAGACGATATAATAAATGTGAAACCGTTTTGGTTAAAGAACAAAAATTAAACGTTTCAACTTTTTATTTTCTCATTTCCTCCAATCAGGATCCATGAAGGTAGCCCCGCCCTAAAGCATACCCTGCTTTATGGTCTGTTTTACTCTCAATGGGACCATCAGTTACTAAATGAACATCATGCTGTATGGAAGAAGACTGAAACTAGAGACTGAGACCAGAAACTCATCAGGAAACTGTTTACTGAGACTATAGAACAGTTCACCATAAGACTCCATACTATCAGAGTGGAGCTGCCCCCTGCTGGCCAGTAGAGACACTGCAGCTTTAACACTGTTAACTGTCGATGAGAGCTATGGAAGACCAAACTGGCACAAACGTTATAAAAATAATATTTTATAAACTAAATCCTGACAGAAGAGAAACAATCAGGTTCCTCTGGCCCCTCCTCCTGAGAGTAATCAGAGCTCTGATTGGTCAGTCTGTGCTCTGAACTTCACAATAAAATTCGTGAACTGGGCTGCTTTTTGTTTCATTCCCTTAACAACATCATTAAAAATAAAAACAGGAAACACTGGAGAAATAAACGCCATAAACCAGCTCACAGGAAGCGAAGATAAACCTCATTTGTAGTTTTCATAAGATTAAAAACTGATTCTGGATCACTGAAGTCCACGTACCTGAGTGAGTCTCACCTGCAGCAGGTCTGAATGGGACTCTGGTCTCTGGTCTCCTGGTTTATATCAGCAGCAGCAGGTGGATCCAATCACTCATCAGTCCTCCAGAGTCCAGTATAGTGTAATCCCTGTTCCAGCTCTCCTGGATCACACTGATCAGGATCAAACTGATCAGGATCACAGAATCTAGATCATTGTTTGGACAGACCTCCGTCTGCTGGTCAATAATACATCACTAATCATTAATCATTAATCACTACTCAATCATCTGTACTGAGAGTAATAAAAGTAATGAGAGTACTGTGAGTAATGAGAGTAATAAAAGTAATGAGAGTACTGTGAGTAATGAGAATACCATGAGTAATGAGAGTAATGAAAGTAATGAGTACTGTGAGTAATGAGTAATAAAAGTAATGAGAGTACTGTGAGTAATGAGAGTACTGTGAGTAATGAGAGTAAAGTGAGTAATGAGAGTAAAAAAGTAATGAGAGTACTGTAATGAGTGATAAAAGTAATGAGAGTACTGTGAGTAATGAGAATACTGTGAGTAATGACAGTGATAAAAGTAAAGAGAGTACTGTGAGTAATGAGAATACTGTGAGTAATGAGAGTAATAAAAGTAATGAGAGTACTGTGAGTAATGAGAATACTGTGAGTAATGAGTACTGAGAGTAATGAGTAATAAAAGTAATGAGTACTGTGAGTAATAGAGTAATAAAAGTAATGAGAGTACTGAGAGTAATAAAAGTAATGAGAGCACTGAGTAATGAGAGTAATAAAAGTAATGAGAATACTGTGAGTAATGAGAGTACTGAGAGTAATGAGTAATAAAAGTAATGAGTACTGTGAGTAATAGAGTAATAAAAGTAATGAGAGCACTGTGAGTAATGAGAGTAATAAAAGTAATGAGAGTACTGTGACTAATGAGAGTAATAAAAGTAATGAGAGTACTGTGAGTAATGAGAATACTGTAAGTAATGAGTAATAAAAGTAATGAGTAATAAAAGTAATGAGAGTACTGTGAGTAATGACAGTAATAAAATAATGAGCGTACTGTGAGTAATGAGAGTAATGAAAGTAATGAGTACTGTGAGTAATGAGTAATAAAAGTAATGAGAGTACTGTGAGTAATGAGAGTAATAAAAGTAATGAGTACTGTAAGTAATGAGAGTACTGTAAATACTGAACTGAAGTCAGATTGTTTAGAGGGACGTCGACACTTCTGTAAAACCAATAACAAACTGCTTCCATAAAGTTTCATTAATGTTTAATGTTTCAAACATAAAAATACGCCTTTAAAGCCAGAAGATAATACAAATGTTACCTTTTGGGACTTTAGGGGCTACGTAGGATTTTATTTACACTATATTTCCTGTTTGATTATTTTGTATCATGGGAAATTGTGATGTACGTTTTTAATGTAAGCAGAATCTCTGGTTGTTCTTTCTTTTAATCTTATCGCTGCTGTTTTTTTAGGAGTTGAAAACAACAAAAATAAAGTTATTATAAATAACTGTTTTCTTCACGTTAGTTCAGCCCAGTTTTCTTTGTGATCCTGCAGCTTATTGATCTGTATCATCTTCCCTCCACCCCTCTGCTATACAGTGTGTTATGAAACTGACAGTGTTTCTTTATACCATAATCAACTTTAATAGAAAGAACAGCGGCACCAGGACGCCTCCCTGAGGGACTCCACAAGAAAACCAGAGCATTTACCTCAAATCTGTTCCTGTAATTAATTTGTTGCGAATACTGTTGACTCATTTTTAAAAAGTTGAAGAGTTTACAGATATATGGAAGCCCATTTCAGCTCAGTGTGTAGAGACTTGGCTTGGGAACCTGAGTGTTGGCAGTTCAAGTCCCACAGACCACAATACGGAGTGTGGAGTGGTAGCTGGAGAGGTGCCAGTTTCACCTCCAGTGCACTGCCGAGCTGCCCTTGAGCAAGGCAACCTAACCCCAAAAAACTGCTCATGGGGTGCCGCTAACATGGTAGCCCATCACTTCACCATCTCTCCATGTTTGCATGAGTGGGCATTTCAGCCTGTGTGTGTATGGAAAAAATTGGGGGGGGGGAAGAATATCTCCAATAGGGGATCAATAAAGTAAATCTTCAAACACAAATGTGGGGTTGGGTCATTATATTGATAAACCATCTTTATATATATATATATATAAATATATATAAAATTGACTTCCAGAATCCTTTTGGAAATGTGCTTCCATAGAAAGCTGCTGAGACTGCTCATTTACAATGATAAAGACTTTGATTTTACATTTAAGATGAAAACTCATGGATGGCTTTCATGCCAATTAGCAAATGGTTTAAAGATTGTAAAAATTCTTTAGCAACATCATGAAGTTACTCCATAAATAGAAATGTTTAAAATGGCTTTGAGGTATGAATGTAGAAGCGTCGTGTTGCTGCTGAGGATCTGAAGAGAAACTGAGCGACTCCCCCCAAACTCCCCCCAGTAACAGGCAGGACAACCTGAAACAAACCATGAGTTTTTATATGAAGAATTTCCTTCAACATGATGTTGAGAACAGACGAGATTTTACTGCAGAGACACAAACAGGAAGGAGCTGCTAAAATCAGCAGGAAGTCAGGATCCTCCACAATAAGAGTCAAAAATCCCCCCTCAAAACAAAAAATTAAAAAAGGAAAAAAAAGAAAAGAAAAAAGGGACAAAGTACCCACAAACAACCACACTCCTCTTCATCATTATTTATATCCTCATCATCATATTCCCAGGATTAAAATCAGTCTGTATGTTGGTTCCCAGAGTTCGTGGTTTCCTCCTCCCAGTGCATTATGGGAGAACGGCCACAGGGAAGCCACACAGTGACCTTTGACCCACTGGTCAGTCCTCATCTCCATGGAAACAGCATCATTCTCATCACGTGAAAGTCAGTTCACCACATGGATTTAAAGTCTGTGGCGTCTCAGACTCCGCCCCTCCCGTGGCGGTCAGTGCGTGTCATCGGGAGGGGGCGGGGCCTCTTCCAGTGGTCAGAGCAGCTGGTTGGCTGACTGTCTCTGCGGCAGCTGGCGTTTGATTTGTCAGAGGGTCCATCAGTCGCTGTCAGAGCCGACGGCCGACGATCCTTTCCTCTTTCTCTTCGGAGCTTTGGGCTTCGAGTCCTCCTCCTCCTGAACAGGAAATACACCAAATATAGTCTTTAATTATAGTCATCAACTATTATTACAACACAGATCACATGACCATGGCAAAGTTGTGTTTGTACAGTGTTAATAAAGTTGTGTGTTTGTACAGTGATAATAAAGTTGTGTGTTTGTACAGTGTTAATAAAGTTGTGTGTTTGTACAGTGATAATAAAGTTGTGTGTTTGTACAGTGTTAATAAAGTTGTGTTTGTACAGTGTTAATAAAGTTGTGTGTTTGTACAGTGTTAATAAAGTTGTGTGTCTGTACAGTGATAATAAAGTTGTGTGTTTGTACAGTGTTAATAAAGTTGTGTGTTTGTACAGTGTTAATAAAGTTGTGTTTGTACAGTGTTAATAAAGTTGTGTTTGTACAGTGTTAATAAAGTTGTGTGTTTGTACAGTGATAATAAAGTTGTGTGTTTGTACAGTGTTAATAAAGTTGTGTTTGTACAGTGTTAATAAAGTTGTGTGTTTGTACAGTGTTAATAAAGTTGTGTTTGTACAGTGTTAATAAAGTTGTGTGTTTGTACAGTGTTAATAAAGTTGTGTGTTTGTACAGTGATAATAAAGTTGTGTGTTTGTACAGTGTTAATAAAGTTGTGTGTTTGTACAGTGTTAATAAAGTTGTGTGTTTGTACAGTGATAATAAAGTTGTGTGTTTGTACAGTGTTAATAAAGTTGTGTGTTTGTACAGTGATAATAAAGTTGTGTGTTTGTACAGTGTTAATAAAGTTGTGTGTTTGTACAGTGATAATAAAGTTGTGTGTTTGTACAGTGATAATAAAGTTGTGTGTTTGTACAGTGTTAATAAAGTTGTGTGTTTGTACAGTGTTGATAAAGTTGTGTGTTTGTACAGTGATAATAAAGTTTTGAAGGTGGATTGAACTGTGTGAGTGTACAGCGTTGATAAATTGTGTTTTGTACAGTGATAATAAAGTTGTGTGTTTGTACAGTGTTGATAAAGTTGTGTTTGTCAGATAATAAAGTTGTGTTTGTACCGAGTCGAAAAATATGTTTTTTTTTTGTATAATAAAAATATTGAGGGGGGGGTGAAATGTGGGGGGTGGCGGCGCACCGAGGCGCTGCTGGAGGCGCTCTCCTCCTCGTTGTTGGTGGGCGGAGCTGGTCCTTTGCGGGAGCGAGGCGAAGTGGCAGGAGCTTTACGCCGAGACTTCGGAGGTTTGGCCTGAGAGTCCTCGTACTCCTCCGCCAGGGCGAACAGGTCGCTGAACCTGCAGGAGGAGGAAGTGATGTCATCAGCCCCAGTGTGTGTGTGTGTGTGTGTGTGTGTGTGTGTGTGTGTGTGTGTGTTTGTGTGTGTTTGTGTACCTCATCTTGTGCGCTTCGTCACAGCTGGCCTGAACGTGCTGCAGAGCCTGAAGGATCGGGGTCTGAGTGAAGACTGACAGAGACAGTCAGTCAGATATCAATAATCAATCAACATCTGTGTGTGTGTGTGTGTGTGTGTGTGTGTGTGTGTGTGTGTGTGTGTGTGTGTGTGTGTGAGAGAGAGAGAGAAAAAAAGAGAGCTCACAGTTGTTCTTGGTGTTGCTCAGACTCAGTCTCAGGTTGTCCATGTGCTCTAGGATCTGTTCCAGGGTCAGCTGAGCCAGTTTACTGCTGGAACTACGGAGACTGAAGACAGACATACAGCTGGTTACAGGACAGTGTCCCTATGTGGACTGGACCAGTTACAGTGCCCCCCCTCAGACCTGGACCCTGAACCCAGACTGATTTACATCAGGTTACTTAGACAGAGACAACTGTCTCTGAGGGTACAGTCAGTGTGTGAGGGTAGAGTCAGTCAGTGTGTGAGGGTACAGTCAGTCAGTGTGTGAGGGTACAGTCAGTCAGTGTGTGAGGGTACAGTCAGTCAGTGTGTGAGGGTACAGTCAGTGTCTGAGGGTACAGTCAGTCAGTGTGTGAGGGTACAGTCAGTCAGTGTCTGAGGGTACAGTCAGTCAGTGTCTGAGGGTACAGTCAGTCAGTGTGTGAGGGTACAGTCAGTGTCTGAGGGTACAGTCAGTCAGTGTCTGAGGGTACAGTCAGTCAGTGTGTGAGGGTACAGTCAGTGTGTGTAGGGTACAGTCAGTCAGGTGTGAGGGTACAGTCAGTGTGTGAGGGTACAGTCAGTCAGTGTGTGAGGGTACAGTCAGTCAGTGTCTGAGGGTACAGTCAGTGTCTGAGGGTACAGTCAGTAGTCTGAGGGTACAGTCAGTGTCTGAGGGTACAGTCAGTGTCTGAGGGTTCAGTCAGTGTGTGAGGGTACAGTCAGTCAGTGTGTGAGGGTACAGTCAGTGTGTGAGGGTACAGTCAGTGTGTGAGGGTACAGTCAGTCAGTGTGTGAGGGTACAGTCAGTCAGTGTCTGAGGGTACAGTCAGTGTCTGAGGGTACAGTCAGTGTGTGAGGGTACAGTCAGTGTGTGAGGGTACAGTCAGTCAGTGTGTGAGGGTACAGTCAGTGTGTGAGGGTACAGTCAGTGTGTGAGGGTACAGTCAGTCAGTGTGTGAGGGTACAGTCAGTCAGTGTGTGAGGGTACAGTCAGTCAGTGTCTGAGGGTACAGTCAGTCAGTGTGTGAGGGTACAGTCAGTCAGTGTGTGAGGGTACAGTCAGTCAGTGTGTGAGGGTACAGTCAGTCAGTGTGTGAGGGTACAGTCAGTCAGTGTGTGAGGGTACAGTCAGCATGTGTGAGGGTCAGTCAGTCAGTGTTAGGGTACAGTCAGTCAGTGTCTCAGGGTACAGTCAGTCAGTGTCTCAGGGTACAGTCAGTGTGTGAGGGTACAGACAGTCAGTGTGTGAGGGTACAGTCAGTGTGTGAGGGTACAGACAGTCAGTGTGTGAGGGTACAGACAGTCAGTGTGTGAGGGTACAGTCAGTGTGTGAGGGTACAGTCAGTGTCTCAGGGTACAGTCAGTGTCTCAGGGTACAGTCAGTGTCTCAGGGTACAGTCAGTGTCTCAGGGTACAGTGTGTCCTTACCTCTGTCTCTTGCGGGGCTGGTTGTTATTCTTGATCAGCTGGGCCTTGATGTGTTCCCCCAGCGTGTCGTCATATTTGGACGCCCAGTGTCTCAGGATGCTGGTGGTGAACTGGTCCTCAGGGTGACATGGACGACTCAAGACCATCTTCACCATCTCCTCACTGGGCCTGGGCCACAGACAGACATGGGGACAGAGATATTAGCAGAGACACAGGAACCTGTAAGATGAAGAACTCTTTTTATGGTCTGTGGGTCATACTTTTCTCTGCGGAGCTGCAGCAGCAGACAGGATAAGGCCTCAGGATGTTCTGGAACAGAAAACATAAAGAACGGTCAGGAACCCGATCAGACGTGAGGACACTGAATGTCTTCCTGGACTGAACATCCACCACTCTGTGGTCATTTTGGGTCTCTTTATGTCCTTTAACGTCTTTTAAGTCCCTGTGGTCATTTGACCTTCCAAAAACAAAAGTTGGCCTGTTGTGTGTGTTCAGTAATCTGTCCATTACACAGACTGGATGCTCACCTTTATATTTGAGGTGTTGCAGGATGGGGATGATAGTTTCCAGGGGGATACTGTGAGCCAGAAACAGCTGCCAGGTGCTGTACTGCTCGAAGGTCTCCCAGTCCAGAGACTGAACTGTTAACACATGAATAAGAAGACATGAAGACACAGCTGTACAAAAACCCCAACACAGTGTTCATATGAGTGTGATTCTCACTGAGGATGTTGAGGACCGAGTCTTTCCTGAACATCACCAGGTTCCCCATCATCACATGACACATCAGTTCCTGTAACTACACAGACAACATCCTGGTTAGTGAACAGGTGAAGTTCAGTCAGTCTAAAGCTGGTGGAGCTGCAGAGGTCAGTAAACACTGATTATTATTACAATGAGAGTATTGATTAGGAGTTACCTGTGTGGAGTCAATGACGGCTACGATCATGTTGAGCAGCTCGCCACTCCGCAGCGTCTCATCTGGAAACTAACAACATCCATCAGACAGAGTGAGTGAGTGAACTTCAGTGAGCGAGTGAGTGAGTGAGTGAACGTCAGTGAGCGAGTGAGTGAACGTCAGTGAGTGAGTGAGTGAGTGAGTGAACGTCAGTCAGTCAGTGAGTGAGTGAGTGTACCTCAGTGTATATGGAGGGGGTGAGGTAGCAGAGCAGCCTGACGTCATCCTCCTGACACGCCTTCATGTCCATCATCAGACAGGTGTGTAGATCACCGAGAGCTGTCGCCTGAGCAAAAGACTCGTACAGCATCATCTTACCGTTGGCTGCTTTACTGCAGACACACACAAACACACACACACACACACACACACACACACACACACACACACACAGACAGATAGACAGACGTTTCTGCGATTACATTTCGACAGAGGCAGAATTATGTCGTGTGTGTGTGTGTGTGTGTGTGTGTGTGTGTGTGTGTGTGTGTGTGTGTGTGTGTATCAGGAACTGTGCGTGCTGCACACTCACCTGGCTTTGAGGTAGTACAGCAGGTGGTATCCGATCTTGGGCTGTTTCTGGTAAAATTCAGCCAACATGTCAAGCAGCACAGAGAACCCGCTGTTATCCTCCTGCATGGTGACCAGGTTCCTGAACACCAGACAGACCGGCTTAGACACAGACTCCTCCAGGGACCTGAGAGACAGACAGGTAATGAGACAGAGACAGACAGGTTAGGGCTCCCAGTGATTCTTTAATCTCTCCTCGTGAAATTCAAACAGTCTGTTGGAGAGCTGTTGACTCTTCTTTATTCATTCTAAGAGGATTTCATGAGGACCCTATCAGTGCTAGAGACCGGTTGGCTGTGTTTCAGGTAAAATTATGTTTTGATGAGTAATTTGCAGACTAATATTACGTTATATTAATGTTGTAGTTGTACACCACAATATATTTCATGACATTGTTCTGAAAGTGAATGCAGTGCTACCGTTCTCCACAGTTGTTATAGCTGTGGTGGACTCCGCCACCCACTGAAGTTACAACCATATATGTCTGTTTTCATTAGTGTATAATTAGAACGAGACGTTTCTATCTACAGAGGGCCCTCTTCTACGTAGTCGACCAGAACTGACAAAGCAAACTCTGGATCCAGATATGGCCTTTACTGTAGTTTATCTACACACTGAACCTTTAAGATGTGACTATATATATATATATATATATATATATATATAGCTAGTTAGCAAGTGTTTTGCTAGCTAACTTAAGATGTGACTGTATATACACACACCGATCAGCCATAACATTGTGACCACCTGCCTAATATTGTGTACGTTGCCAACTAAACAGCCTGGATTCATCGAGGCTCCACGATCAGGAGCCCTGAAATACCCGCCCCCTCCCCCACTGACAGGAGCCCTGATAACCAGATAATCTGTGTTACTGTCGGTGCTCACTGTCGGCTGATCGGTGGATGTCTCTTTCACCTTTTAACCATCTTCAAAATGTGGTTGCCTTGTCAACACAGATTAGCCTAGCGTATAGCATATATAAGCACAGGAAAGGAGGAAGTTTGTTCCAAAGGGGCGAGGCTTAGGAAGGTTAAACTGGGTTGATTATTAGTCTTTGAATAGAATAAAGTGTTATTGATCCCCCCGAGTCAGTCTTACTCCTCAGTGATCTCCTCAGGAAGGACGTCTCCTCTGAAATGATCTTTAAACAGTTCAGCCAGACAGGAAGCCAGAGCGGACATCTGCTCCGAGTCAAAGTCCTCCTGCAACGCAACGCAGTACAGTTAGATACAATACAATACAGTGAGGTACAGTACAGTACGGTACAGTACAGTGAGGTACAGTAGAGTATTGTACAGTGAGGTACAGTAGAGTACAGTGAGGTACAGTAGAGTACAGTACGGTACAGTACAGTACAGTGAAGTACAGTACAGTGAGGTACAGTACAGTACAGTGAAGTACAGTACAGTGAGGTACAGTACAGTGAGGTACAGTAGAGTATTGTACAGTGAGGTACAGTACAGTGAGGTACAGTAGAGTATTGTACAGTGAGGTACAGTACAGTGAGGTACAGTACAGTACAGTATGGTACAGTACAGTACAGTGAGGTACAGTACACAGTAGAGTGCACTATAACAGAGTACAATAGAGTACAATAGAGTACAATAAAGTACAATAGAGTATAATATAATATAATAAAGTACAATAGAGTACAATAGAGTATAATGGAGTATAATGGAGTACAATAGAGTACAATAGAGTACAATAGAGTATAATAGAGTATAATAGAGTACAATGGAGTATAATAGAGTAAAATGGAGTAAAATGGAGTACAATAGAGTACAATAGAGTATAATAGAGTATAATAGAGTACAATGGAGTATAATAGAGTAAAATGGAGTAAAATGGAGTACAATAGAGTATAATAGAGTACAATAAAGTACAATAGAGTACAATAAAGTACAATAGAGTATAATATAGTATAATGGAGTACAATAGAGTACAATAGAATATAATAAAGTACAATAGAGTACAATAGAGTATAATGGAGTACAATAGAGTACAATAGAGTATAATAGAGTACAATAGAGTACAATAGAGTACAATAGAGTATAATATAGTATAATAAGAGTATAATGGAGTACAATATAATATAATGGAGTACAATAGAGTATAATGGAGTACAATAGAGTATAATGGAGTACAATAGAGTATAATGGAATACAATAGAGTACAATAGAGTATAATGGAGTACAATAGAGTACAATGAGTACAATAGAGTACAATAGAGTACAATAGAGTATAATAGAGTACAATAGAGTGTAATAGAGTATAATGAGTACAATAGAGTACAATATAATATAATGGAGTACAATAGAGTATAATATAGTATAATGGAGTACAATAGAGTACAATAGAGTACAATAGAGTAGAATAGAGTACAATGGAGTATAATAGAGTAAAATGGAGTAAAATGGAGTACAATAGAGTATAATAGAGTACAATAAAGTACAATAGAGTATAATAGAGTACAATAAAGTACAATAGAGTACAATAAAGTACAATAGAGTATAATATAGTATAATGGAGTACAATAGAGTACAATAGAATATAATAAAGTACAATAGAGTACAATAGAGTATAATGGAGTACAATAGAGTACAATAGAGTACAATAGAGTATAATAGAGTACAATAGAGTACAATAGAGTATAATATAGTATAATAAGAGTATAATGGAGTACAATATAATATAATGGAGTACAATAGAGTATAATGGAGTACAATAGAGTATAATGGAGTACAATAGAGTATAATGGAATACAATAGAGTACAATAGAGTATAATGGAGTACAATAGAGTATAATGGAGTACAATAGAGTGTAATGGAATACAATAGAGTACAATAGAGTATAATGAGTATAATGGAGTATAATAGAGTATAATAGAGTACAATAGAGTATAATGGAGTATAATGGAGTATAATAGAGTATAATAGAGTATAATAGAGTATAATGGAGTATAATGGAGTATAATGGAGTATAATGGAGTATAATGGAGTATAATAGAGTATAATAGAGTATAATGGAGTACAATAGAGTATAATGGAGTATAATAGAGTACAATGGAGTATAATAGAGTATAATGGAGTATAATAGAGTATAATGGAGTATAATAGAGTATAATGAGTAAAGAGTATAATGAGTATAATGGTACAATAGAGTACAATTGAGTATAATGAGTACAATAGAGTATAATGGAGTACAATAGAGTATAATGGAGTACAATAGAGTACAATATAATATAATGGAGTACAATAGAGTACAATATAGTATAATAGAGTACAATAGAGTACAATATAATATAATGGAGTACAATAGAGTATAATGGAGTATAATAGAGTATAATAGAGTATAATGGAGTATAATGGAGTATAATGGAGTATAATGGAGTACAATAGAGTACAATTGAGTATAATGAGTACAATAGAGTATAATGGAGTACAATAGAGTATAATGGAGTACAATAGAGTACAATATAATATAATGGAGTACAATAGAGTACAATATAGTATAATGGAGTACAATAGAGTACAATATAATATAATGGAGTACAATAGAGTATAATGGAGTATAATAGAGTACAATGGAGTATAATAGAGTATAATGGAGTACAATAGAGTATAATGGAGTATAATAGAGTATAATAGAGTATAATGGAGTATAATGGAGTACAATAGATATAATGGAGTATAATAGAGTATAATAGAGTATAATGGAGTATAATGGAGTATAATAGATATAATGGAGTATAATGGAGTATAATAGATATAAGGGTATAATGGAGTATAATAGTATAATGGAGTATAATGGAGTATAATAGATATAATGGAGTATAATAGAGTATAATAGAGTATAATGGAGTATAATGGAGTATAATGGAGTATAATAGATATAATGGAGTATAATGGAGTATAATAGAGTATAATGGAGTATAATGGAGTATAATGGAGTATAATGGAGTTGTTGTATGAGAGAAAACTCACCTCCAGGATCAGATCCACGATTTCTTGCATCACCTCACACTGAGTCTCTGTGTCACTGAGGAGACATTATTAAGATTGTTTTTGTTATTATTATTGTTGTTATTGTTGTTGTTATTATTATTATTATTATTATTATTATTATTATACAGATGATCAATACATCTCTCACCTGGTCTTCTGCAGCTGTTGAACTTTCTCTTTCATAGTATCGTCTAATTGGTCGAGCCAGGGTGTGATGTCAGCGGGCTCCTCCATCACAGCCTCTTTGATTGGATGGAACCTGAACTCCCTCTTCTTTCCTGCACAGTGATTGGTCGACAGATCGTCAGACAGCAGTGTGACGTAATCACCTGCAGCAGGTAGAACAGCTGGATCTTTAGATTGGATCAACTGGTTTAACTGGGTCTGGTACACTATAACACTGTAAACTGGTTTATTACAAAGTGGTTCATTGCACAGTGTAAACTGGTTTATAACATTGTAAACTGGTTTATAACAGTGTAAACTGGTTTTTTATACTGGTTTATCGTGGTTTAAACTAGATTTATTCTAGTTTTAAATCGTTTATTACAGTTTAAACTGGTTTATTTGTGTTGGATTTGTTCACTACAATTAAAATCAGTTCTGGCTTGAAATGGTTTCCTCTACTGTAAGTTGATTAATATGATCTTTCTGTGTCTGCTCCGACTGTGAGGTGCAGCTGAAAGCTCAGGTATAAGAGTCCCTTTGTAAAATTATCAACTGGTCTTGATCATACTTATTTTGGTTTAAAGTGGTTTATCTCATATAGAACTGGTTTATTCTGGTCACCTTTGTTGTTGACCTCCTCCTCATCGTCGCTGAAGGCAGCCTCTGTGTGGTCATAGCAACCCTCCTCCTTGTCCAACATGTGGTTGTCCATGTCCATGGAAACGGCTTCCTCCATTTTAACTGCAGGACACACACAGAGAGAAATGTGGATTTATCCGCCACTGAAAATAGTCCGCAAGAAACGCATTTCCTCCAGTTTGTCTGATAGAAACTATAGTGCAGCTGTTTATCTGTGAGCAGTTTTAAAGTCTTCAGTAGGAACTAATGAGCCATAGACAGGAAGTCAGACTGCACTGACAGACAGACGGACATGTTGTTGGTTCTTTATTTAAATACATTTTAGATTATTTGTTCATTACAAATGCGTGTGTGTGTGCATGCGTGTGTGTGTGTGTGTGTGTGTGTTACCTTCAGTGGGGGGGGACGGCGAGCTGCAGAACTCAGGGAATCTCTCTCTGAGCATCGAACGAAGCTCTCTGTCCAATTTAGGATTATCAAACAGCGGAGCGAGGTGACTGAGAGAGGGTGATCAATAATCAATCATCAGCATGTGGTGGACTGTCAGAGGGAACAGTGTGTGTGTGTGTGTGTGTGTGTGTGTTTCTTACGCCAGCACTCTCTTCTCCATGATGAAGGTGAGCGAGTTAAAGACGCCCTGACGGACCTGAGACTCCAACGGAGGAAAGAAGTGAGGGATGATCTGAGGGAGGAAACAAAGGAGTGACAGAAGGAAATAATCAAATGGATATAAGTGGTATTATCATTTTGTTCTCTCTCAGAATCATTTACACTAAATACTACACTACATCAGCTGCTGTTGCTATGAAGAGGTCAGAGGTGTGAATAAGAGTGGCAGCAAATTAAAAACATGTTGCCATGGTTACTGAATTAATCTAAAACTGATCCAGAGTTAATTAATCAAAGCTTTAGATCAGTGAGGAGCTCTGTGATTGGCTGGAGTGAATGAGGTCACACTGTACAGGTTGGTTTGTACACCTCCTGCTGGCGTTTAGTGTCTCCTCCCTCTAAAGTCTGATTTATGCCTCTGCTTCAATTCAACGCCGTAGCCTATACACATCCCATATATTCCCTGGTCCATTTGTGGCGGGGAAAAAAACAGGGGAGAGTTTCACACAGCGGCACAGAAACCCAACAACTACTGCAGCTGCAGCAACAACTTATCAACTGTGATTACTAAGGTCTGAATGTAACACTGACTGTAAATGAGCCTGAACACATCCTGTCCTCCCTGGAGCCTGATCAACAAGTGGAAAACACCTGGTGGGTTGGAGGTTAGCGGTGGTACTGGGTCTGACAGCCCCCTGTGGAGGGTTTCAGAGTGTGTGTGTGTGTGTGTGTGTGTGTTACCCTGCACATGAAGTCCAGCAGTGTGGCGGTGATGGCAGGATGAGGTTTCATGGAGTGATGCATCACCAGGATGGCAGGTTCTGTAACACAGAGACACCAACAGTCAGCAGAGACACCACGTTACCTTACGATGTATGATTACACGTCACACAATTCTACATTCATTAATTTTAACTGCAGTCGGGTTGTTGGACATGACTGAGCTCAATCTACAGTCTGTGTCGGTATAATCTGAACTTTATCTGAAGTTAATGTGAGCTCACAGCAGCATTTAAACCAAGGCTGCAAATGACAGGAGCTGCAGTTAGTTCGATATAAAGCTCAAATGTGACAAACACAATGAAGTTCTGTACTTCTGAATGCTAATCTTTTCCACATTTAAGGAAACATGTTTGTTTGGTACAGTTTTTAATTTGTGATCTGAAAATAACTGAATCATATGACATCCATCAAAGTAATCACAATATGATGTTCTTACGGCATCGTGCAGCTCATATTTAAACTCAAATTCAGTTCATCCAGTCGTTGACTTCTGACAGACCAACATGGAGGAAGCTATCGTAGCTTTAGCATTAGCTGTGTGTTAGCATCCAGTTCAGTCAGAGTATAAACTGCTTTACACACGTGAGGACCGATACAGCTGTTAATTAACTGTGGACGCAGCAAGCTCGTCATTACAATACAAGGACTTCTTCCAGGACTCCACAGCGCAGGGTTCACTGGATCATTATCCAGGAACTTTCCTGGAGTTTTCCGATATGATAAAAAGGTCATATCGTGATTATTGTGTAAAAAGATTTGTAGGCCGAACTAGAGGACTTCATTATAACACAACTGTATTTATTATTGTGCAGGTATGTAGGTGATCTGAGTGACAACTACAATACTAATATTGTATTATTACTCCCATTTATGGAGGACAACAGAGATTATTTCCAGGATATTTGGTCATTTGAATTCATTTCCAGGTGTTTCCATGACTAGTGTCCACACTGTCGACCTGAGCAGCAGCGTCCGACACGTTTCTACACTGAGCTTACTTTGATAAATACCATACAGCAGAAAGAAGGGAATTTACTTTGGTAAGTTGGTGCATAACAGTTAAACATAGAAAAATAAAAATACAGATACAAACAGAGACAAAAGAAGGAGCCAATATATACACACACATAACAAGAGAATATGTACCAGATGGCCAGATACTTAAATAAAGTCTGGATTCACACAGAAACATCAGACAGCTATTAATGTGAAACAGATACAGGAAGTGTTGAGTTTAGCTCTATTTGTTTGTCTGTGACATATTGTACAGAATCAGACATTACAGGAAGGTTATTGTATGTTTATCTGTCTGCTGGGAGCCAACTCTCTAGTGAAGCATGACTGCGTCTAAGGCGCGTAGCGTGGCCATTCCAATCTCATCAGACGCTCCGCCCCCCACACGCACTGCTCAGGTAGGCAGGGCAACGAGCCGCTTCATGAGTCCACTGATTATCAGCTCCAGTATAGAACATTTCTATAGTTATAAAACTGATGATAAAATCTATGAAATTGTGTGAAATGTGCTACTACTAGCTCTGACGTGGTCCCGCCCACAGCTCTATCTGATTGGTTACACATCAGCCAATCACAAGTACACATAGAAAGAGTGTGTGTGTGTGTGTGTACCTATGTTCATGATGCTGTCTTTCTCAGGGTTGAAGAACAGCCAATCATAGAAGAGTGCCAGCTTGGCGTTGGAGGCAGCCACATTCGACTGGAGACACAAATCAATTGATAGATTGATTGATTATTGATTTTAACAAGATGCTGGCCTTCAGATTGACAGCCCTGAGGCCCCTCCCCTTTACCGTGCAGGTGGTGAGCAGCCAGCCAATGATGGCCCAGCGTGGCAGGATGTCAGAGCTCAGCACCTCATTGGACGGATGGACCACCCCACAGATGTAGCGAATGAGATCGCAGCGCAGTGATTGGCTCTCTGCTGTGGACAGGTACTGCCTCTGAAACCAGTCCTGGTACCGCTTCTGCTGCCCAAAACGCACCTGAGCACAGGTAATACACACAGTTGGAGACAGTCAGAGAGACAGAGAGAGCTAGAGACAGTCAGAGAGACGATTAGAGAGACGGTTAGAGACAGTCAGAGACAGTCAGAGACAGTCAGAGAGTCAGTCAGAGAGACAGAGACAGCTAGAGACAGTCAGAGACAGTCAGAGAGAGAGTCAGAGACAGTCAGAGAGACAGTCAGAGTCAGAGACAGCTAGAGACAGTCAGAGACAGTCAGAGAGACAGTCAGAGAGTCAGAGACAGCTAGAGACAGTCAGAGAGTCAGAGACAGTCAGAGACAGTCAGAGAGTCAGAGACAGTCAGAGAGACGGTTAGTGACAGCTAGAGACAGTAAGAGACAGTCAGAGAGACAGACACAGCTAGAGACAGTCAGAGAGACAGTCAGAGAGACAGACACAGTCAGAGAGACGGTTAGAGACAACTAGAGACAGTAAGAGACAGTCAGAGAGACAGACACAGCTAGAGACAGTCAGAGAGACAGTCAGAGAGACAGACACAGCTAGAGACAGTCAGAGAGACAGACACAGCTAGAGACAGTCAGAGAGACAGTCAGAGAGACAGACACAGCTAGAGACAGTCAGAGAGACAGTCAGAGAGACAGACACAGCTAGAGACAGTCAGAGAGACAGACACAGCTAGAGACAGTCAGAGAGACAGTCAGAGAGACAGACACAGCTAGAGACAGTCAGAGAGACAGACACAGCTAGAGACAGTCAGAGAGACAGTCAGAGAGACAGACACAGCTAGAGACAGTCAGAGAGACAGTCAGAGAGACAGACACAGCTAGAGACAGTCAGAGAGACAGACACAGCTAGAGACAGTCAGAGACAGTCAGAGAGACAGACACAGCTAGAGACAGTCAGAGAGACAGTCAGAGAGACAGACACAGCTAGAGACAGTCAGAGAGACAGACACAGCTAGAGACAGTCAGAGACAGTCAGAGAGACAGACACAGCTAGAGACAGTCAGAGAGACAGTCAGAGAGACAGACACAGCTAGAGACAGTCAGAGACAGTCAGAGAGACAGTCAGAGAGACAGACACAGCTAGAGACAGTCAGAGAGACAGACACAGCTAGAGACAGTCAGAGAGACAGACACAGCTAGAGACAGTCAGAGACAGTCAGAGAGACAGACACAGCTAGAGACAGTCAGAGAGACAGTCAGAGAGACAGACACAGCTAGAGACAGTCAGAGACAGTCAGAGAGACAGTCAGAGAGACAGACACAGCTAGAGACAGTCAGAGAGACAGACACAGCTAGAGACAGTCAGAGAGACAGACACAGCTAGAGACAGTCAGAGAGAGAGAGACAGTCAGAGACAGTCAGACAGTGATATTTCTTAAAGGGAGTTAGTGTGAAGAGAATAGTGAAGACCACTCCAGATGTTATACAGGAGGGTGAGCGAGGCTTAAGAGTCAGATTTAGGGTCAGTCCGTTACCCTGGAGGTCATGAACAGCAGCTTGGTCTCCATGTCGGGTGTGAGACGACAGGCCAGAAACTTCCTGGAGGTTCGAGCCGTCAGCAGCTGGAGAACACCTGAGACACAGATCACAGGTAGGTGGTGTAACAGGTGTAAAGATCCACTAACACTTTAATCTCCGTGCAGTTTAACGCTGCCTGAAATCCCTGTGAACTGAGGATTGTGGGTAGTGTCGTTATACCTGTGAACTGAGGATTGTGGGTAGTGTCGTTATACCTGTGAACTGAGGATTGTGGGTAGTGTCGTACCTGTGAACTGAGGATTGTGGGTAGTGTCGTTATACCTGTGAACTGAGGATTGTGGGTAGTGTCGTTATACCTGTGAACTGAGGATTGTGGGTAGTGTCGTACCTGTGAACTGAGGATTGTGGGTAGTGTCGTACCTGTGAACTGAGGATTGTGGGTAGTGTCGTACCTGTGAACTGAGGATTGTGGGTAGTGTCGTACCTGTGAACTGAGGATTGTGGGTAGTGTCGTACCTGTGAACTGAGGATTGTGGGTAGTGTCGTACCTGTGAACTGAGGATTGTGGGTAGTGT